ACCGGCCGTGGGATCGGACGGCGCAGGCGCACGCAGCCCCCAGTGGGACGCGGATGTGCTTTGCTTCTCTTTTCACTGTGGAGTAACTTTTTGGGTCATTTCCACGCATTTTTACACGTAAAGCCATAAAACTTCGCATCGCTGGAGCGGGGCACGTCTCCGCGTGACGGCACCGCCACGGCCACCCCACGTGGTGTCCCCGTGCCCCCCGCACCAGGCGGCCCTCTGCCGGCCGCGTTCCCGGCATTCACAGCAAGTCGCTGCCGCCGGAATGGCCTGACCGACGTCGCTGGCTCGATCCGGGGGCCGAGATCGAGCGCGGCGGGCCGGGTCCCAGCTCCTTCGGGCTGGGAGGGGTGCGCTCCCCACCGCTCCCCAGTTTTCGGTGGTTTGCGGGCCGTGGTTGGTGCCCCCGACTTGCCTACCTCTACCTGTGGCACTCTCCCTGCCCGCGTCTGTGTCCGAACGTCCGCTTCTTACAGGGAAGCCGGTCGGAATGAATTAAAGGCTCGCCTTTCTTCAGTGTGACTCAATTTATCTTAACTAAATACGTCTGTAATGGCTGTTTTTCCAAACTAAGTCACGTACTTTTTTGGGGGGACACAGTTTGAGCCACAACGAAACCTGTGAGACACGTCTGACCCCACTCCTTCCTGGGCCTTGAGACCCTCGGCCTGGCTCCGTGGGGCTCAGTGACGCGACGTGTGACAATCTTCCCTTTCTGGCCGTCTCGTAGGCAGCAGAGGTGGGGACCCAGTCCCCAGCCTAGTCACCCAGCCTCCACTGAACGACCGTGTCGACAGTAAACTGCATCGAGGGCGGGGGACATGGAGGAGGGAAGCTGCCTCTGACCTTGAGGACCTCGAGGACGACTGGGACAGTGCCGGCAGGCGTTGCCGGGAGGCGGGGCAGCACCCCGCACACTGATGTTGCAAAGCCACGTGTGCCCACCTCCTGCTGGCGTCCACAGAGGAACCGCGACCCGTGGTCTCTGCCGAGGGGGATTTCAGATTCTAACTCCTACTGGGACCTGAGAGTCCCGTGACGCAAGCCCCAGATCTACGAATGATGAAATCTGCCCCAAATGGGGAAAAGCTGTCACGTGGTTACTCGGTCACCGCCGGGCAGGCTCCGAGGCTGCAGGTTGGTGAGCACCGGTCCACGCCGCGTGGCTTGTCCTGGCTCAGCCAGGGACCGCGGTGTCTCACCTGGCCTGTCCCCACGCTTCAGTGCCAGTGGCCGTGGCCACAGGCCCACTGCAGCCGGGCCGGGGTCTGGGCCGAGGCGGCCTGTGGGATTTGAGCTCCTGGCTCACGCTAAGTGGCGGGACATGGCAGGAGCCTCCTGCACGTGCTCGAGTGTGTGTACGTGTCACTTAGACCACGCAGGGCGCTGGTGGGGATACGCGTTCCCTCGTGAAGGCCGACCCTGTGCTGCTCTGGCTCGGTCACCCCGGACCATGGGAGACGTTTCTGGGTCGTCTTGTGGAACCCCCGGTGGGTCGGCCCAGCTCATAGCAACTGCTTCTGCCCGGCGGCCGCCGCGTGTCCGAGCCGGGCAGTGCGCAGTCTGGGTTCCGAAGAGGCCAGACACAGACAATGCCCAAGGGACAAGTGACGTTATTTTATTAAAATCACAAGTGTGTGCACGTGAAATTACGGGCGCTCAGATGACGTGGACACGCCGGCGCGGTGACAGAGCGGGGGCCAAAGTTTGCGGACAGTAGGTGCCGAGAAGGCTCTGGAAGGGCCTGAAGAGGCTCCTTGGGTTTAGCGTCTTGAGATGATGTCACCACACACCCTTCTTTTAAAATGAGCGTTTGGGGTCAGTGAGCCCCGAAGTCCTCATGGGTGACTTCGCCACTCAGGCAGAGCTGCGCGTGCCCACCGAAGGGTCAACCGCGTCACTGCCGATAACAGCACTCGATGAAAACCCAAACCCAAACGGTAATCTGACACTCGCGTTGAAGTCGCTGCCATATGAGCTGTAGGAATGTTTCATTCTCGTCGGCCACAGATGCAGAAAAGCCACCGCGGAGCCACCCACGCGTCCTGCCTCAGCTTCCTCCTTGACGGACCTGGGCCCCTCATGTAGAAGTGTCTTCTAACGTTGAATTCCTTAATATTAATAAATCTCTGAATTTTAATTCTGATATCGAATTCATTTCTGGAATTACCAGTGAATTTTTTTAAAAACAGAATTATATCTTCCCCCTTTTTTACTTATACATGAAAAATCACAGATAGCATTTGAAGGGAAAACTTTTTGTGCATGCGAAAACACGGGCCCTGTGCACTTAAATCGAAAAACTCAATTGTATCTGAAATGGAAGTTTCAACTTGCCGCCCACATGAGAACACCCTTGACCTTGAACCCACATGAGAACACCCTTGACCTGGAACCCACGTGAGAACACCCTTGACCTTGAACCCACGTGAGAACACCCTTGACCATTACATCTCCTCGTGGACACGCAGAAGCACGAAGCGTGTTTTTAACGGGCGGGACTTCCACCTTCCCCTGCCTGTGCACCCTCCCCGTTTACCGTGTCCGTCAGAAGCAAGCAGCGTCGGGGGCTGTAAAGGGGGACATGCACCCCTCCGTCGGTGGCCGCAGCGCCGTCAGCCTGTCACAGCTGCTGGCCGACCCCCCGGTTACTCCCGACCTGGCACATTCGCTCCTCTAGGTGTGTCGAAATCAGTGACGCGGTCCAGCGCTGGAGGAGAGAATGCCTGGCCGAAAATGCCACCGCGCGTCTCGGTTACAGATGTCACAGTTACAGCCACAGGCAAAGTGATGGCAGGACAAGGTTGCTTCCTCCGGGGGACCTCTCGGTTATGAGGTGCCAGGGGCCCTGGGGTCAGCGACACTGGGAGACAGCACTGTCCGTGGGGCCACACCGGGGCAGGTGAGCAGGACACGGGAAGCGGCCGCCCCGGCGGTGGCGTCGTCCCTCCGAACGAGGCGCTGTGTGTCCGGCCTTCGGCGTTGCCATCGCAGGGAGGGGCAGCTCCCTGGTGCCCCGTGCTGTGGGCTCGCTAGGGTTAGACGAGGTCGCTGGGCAGGAAGTGCTCGGTGTTTCGGCATCAGCCGCGACGCCAGGAGCCTGGCCTTCCGCGGGTCCTCACGACTTGCCGTGATGGAGAGCTCGCGAGTCTGCGTGGAGACTGGACGGCGGGACGCCCGGGGAGCTCAGGGGGCCCCTCCGAGGGGCGCCAGGCTGGACTGCGTGTCCGTCGACAGTGGCTCCCGGTACTTTGCAGCCTGACTTTGTGCGAGGTATAGTGTGGCTCTGCAGTGACGGAGGCAAACGTTTCGTGAAGTCTGAACTGAGCGACAAGTTTCCAGAAGCAAAGGAAAACTGCCGTTCAGAAGCCGACGTTGGAAGGGCGAGGCCAGCGCGCCGTCCGAGCGGGCTGCGGCCTGAGCCCTGCGGCCCTGGAGCCCCGCTGCGGGTTCGAAGGGCATTGGTCGGAGGCGGTAGCATCGCACTTGCAGGTGCAGCGGTAAATAACGGCCAGGTCCGATCAGCTCGAGGCAAACTAGCTGACAATGGCGATAGAATTCTCTCCCCCTAGAAAAATGGGTAAATCCTAATCCTCTCTTCTCAGTCGAAGGACAGCTCAGGACGTCCGTTTCCAGTGACTCTATCGTCGGGTGTGTTTCCTGGTGTTTAACTGCCGCCTTGTCACCGCTCCGTCTGTGGCTTGTCGCCACTCCGAATTTTTTGACATCGACTCCTAAAGGATTCATTCTTGCAGAAGCCGCTTTGCGAGAGTCTTGCAGGCCGCGGACTCACAGTGCGGCCGCTGGGACTGTCCGAGGGTCCAGCGTCGTCTGTTCCCATCATGAACCTCGCGCTGGCGTTTGCACACGTCCGGGCGTGCTGTGTCACCCTGGCGCGCTCCTTAAATAGTCGAAGCGGATCCTGCTGAGAGCGGCAGCCGGATGGGTTTGTTCTCTAAGAAACGGCGGGGAGCTGGGCGCGGGGTGGGCGCGGGTTGGGTGCGGGGAGGAGGC